CTCTCTCTCTCTCTCTCTCTCTCTCTCTACTAACAGCTATGCCGCTGGGCGCCATTGTCCACTACTACTCTCGACTTGCACAGCGCCCAGCCGTGGCCAGGTTGCACAGTAACACAGCAGTGCTTCCACAACAGCACAAGTGACCAAAATGTTGATGCTGACTGCCACTTGATTTTTGTACTTGCTGCAATTAGAAAATTAGACTTGCGATGTTCCTTTCCTTTGCCGCAGCCACCCTAAATGATGCAGGCCACTGCAGGACTTTCCTAGGACTGATTTGCAACTTTGACCAAAGACTGACACATGGCTGGCACCGAACTTCGGACATCTACAAACCTCTTAACCCTACAGACCTAACCTACCGGCTTCTGCAAAGACGGCACTATGGTACCTACCAGAAGTTTCTGTACGGTCTACGGGAAGGGTCTAAAATTGGATCTCAACCGGGACTGGACTCGGAGACGCATGGATCCTTTCACTAACGCCAGCCTAATTTCGAGGTCCTCGAAGAACAAACATTCTTTTATCTGTCAAGTTCAATGTATCCCCCTGCATGCTTGTTCATAATGTGATACAATGCAGGGCGCAGTCTCACATAGTTGCGCTTACTCTTCTGGATCTTGGTACTGCCATCTTATACTGAACCATTCACTGGGTCGGCCTCTATTACTGGTCCAAAGAACAGCCTGGCCATCCATTCGATCGATGTCCCAACATCCATATCTGGGGGCATCATTGATCTGCGTGAAGGGAAATACTTTCCGTAGTTAACATGCAGCGGCTTTGAGGGATGGAAGATTGGATAAGAGCCGAGGTGCGGAGAGATGTCGAATGTGTAGGACAGGTGGTCAGCATCTCCCTTGGAAGTCAGATCTTCTGGCAGTCCTCTGTACACCGAACTGATTGGCTTAAGTCGCTTAACCAATATTAAATCCAACTGCAAACCATGAAGGTTTGTGACTCGACCAATATTAAATCCGACTGCAAACCAGAGAGCGCAAATGGGTAACCGTTACCCGTACCCGACCGCACCCAACTGTAACCGCCAGGTCATGGGTAGGTCTGGGTGCCCCTTTCCGAAGGAGGGTTGGTTATGGGCAGGCAAATTTGTTTTTTTCTGGAGATGACGGGTAGGCACAGTTAGTATTTATATTAATTTATAAAGATCATGGGCAGGTAGGGTCAGCCAAACATAAAACTAAAACTGGTACGGACAGGTACGAGGGGCAGACAAAAAAAATGGGGGTCGGGTACGGGTGGGTAGAGGATCCACTCGGGTAACCGTGGTTCACTACCCCTTGTGTTCCCACCTGCCCCCCTCCCAGCCCTTCCCCCCCCGCCCTTTCCCACCATCTGAAGTCGTACGCCCTTTCCCACCAGCGCAGGGGTTGCATATGCTGCTGCAGTAGTTGCATTGACATCATTTCTGCAGTTGCTGCAGGGGTTGCATGTGCTACTGCCGCTGCAGATGCACCACATCTGCTGCAGTAGTTCCATTGACATCATTTCTGCAGTTGCTGGAGGGGTTGCATCTGCTGCTGCTGCTGCAGATGCACCACATCTGACTATCGCTGCAGTTGTGACCTATTACTGCTGGACCCCGACCACAGCCCAAAGGTTGCGAGGGGAGTTGAGAGTCGGTTGGGGGTTTTTACGGGCGGTTAGAACAGTTAGGAGCAGTTAGGGGCAGTTAGAGGGGGGTGGGTAACAGGTGCGGGCGGTTACGGGTAGGTGCATACAATTGTGGGTAGGTGGGGACGGGTACGGCTGAACACGGGTAAGGAAAATTTYGGTTGGGTATGGTACGGGTGGTTAAGACACGGTTTGGGTTCAGTTAGCCATGGTTGGTTAAAAAAAAAAAAAAAAMMCAAGGGCGGGTACGGGCAGTTACAGTCTGCAGAGGTTCAGGTATGGGCGGGTACAGGTACCCGGTTTTTTTTTTCGGATCAGTTGGAGGTAGGTAAAGGTGCGGTACGCCAGGCATACATTGGTCATGGTTGGTTGGTTTTCAAAAAGTGTGTGGTTAGTTTAGTTACAGGTATTTCTAAAAATCCTGGTTGCGAACTCTGCTGCGAACCATGAAGGTTTGCGATGCTAATTAGCCTATCAATGGCTATCATGCTTTTTTTCTTTTTTTTTAATATGCTCTCATAGACCACGAATCAGATATTAAGCTGATCCGTACAGATACTCCACTTGAGCTTAGCCAAAACCCTGAGAAAATCATTTAATGAATCTGATCAGGATTCGGGCAGCGGCATGGCTTCCATCCCATATGCAGCACGTTGGGCATCCTTTTAAAAAGAAGGAAAAAAGGCGATGGCCAGGAGATATCACCACTGATGTGACCGGCCCCAGGTAATTCAGAATTATTTTTATTTCATATGGATTCGAACTTGGGTCTGTATTTCAACAATTCGTGTTTGTAGCAACTGAGCTAGGCCCTCACGTTAGGCATCCTACTAGTTGACAGATGCACTGAGCTCTTATATCCATCCACTGGCGATGTTTGCCAGATGTTCATCCCACTCTATTTTGATCTGGTGTAATGTATAATTGGGGAGTTTGCTGTAGCAGCTAATACATCTGTTGATTCTGTTCCATTTGACCAGTAATCTCTGGGTACCTACCATAAGACACGTCAACCGTGATCCGTAGACTTTCACGAGTTGTTGACATTGCTCCCCCGTGAACCTAACGTCCCTATCACTAACTATGGTTAAGGGTGACCTTTATTTTTGACCCAGTGTGTGATGAACTTACGGATTGGATTACTAATTTAGTCCTTCCTGGCTTCTGCTGGCAAAGGAACGAATTCTGCATATTTGCTAAATTGGTCGAGTCAGACGACTCTACTATAACCATGCGTCGACTATTCGTGTTTCTGCTTTTGACTTTAGCATCCATCCTGCATTCCACAACCCATTAGGATGTACAATTTGAAGGCCCGTCCTACCGGGGAAGTTAGCTGCGGTGTCACCCTGGCTGATTGAGCAAGAAGTAAAACAGAAAAAGGAAAAGAAAAAAAAAAAACTGCAGTTATTCAGGGAAGAGGAGGGCAAGCCAGAAAATGGAACAGCAGCCGGTTAAAAAAAGCTGCCTGAAAATAGAGGACGACCAGTCAGCATATACCCTACAAACATCCATCAGCATGCAGCTCTGTTTGTTTGCAGCAGAATATGCTTCAAGCAAGATAGACAACAGTCCAAATAGGCCTCCTATACTTGGAGGCAAACGATGACTCTTTTCAGCAGTGCACCATACAATGCAGTAGTTTCCACTTTTGCATTTCTTCTTTGGTTTGGGGAATACCTTAAGTTTGTGTGCTCCAATGCCCTGGTTGCATCCTCCTGGCTCTCGTACTGAACAAATGCGAAGTTTTTCCGGATTTGTGTCCTGACAAGCTTGCCATAAGGCTCAAAGTGTCTCTCCAAATCTCTGACCCTTGTATGTACAGGATCGAAGTTCACAACAAACAAGGTTTTTGTTGGGCGATTCCTTGTTTCAGACCTCCTTGCTTCTTCTCCCCTCTTGATTGCGCCATCTCCCTGCATACGACGCTGGAGTTTAGTCAGTTTCACCATCCAAAATGCTTACGGCGGGGTACAGTGGTATTTAGCATTGGCAGGGGCGAATGTCAATATACAATTTGGTCAACATTATTGCAGGGATGACATCATCAAATGTCACAGACAGAAACATATCAAAGCAATTAAATAAGAAGCGGACCATAACAAGGATGCCATCACATCCAACTCGCACCCAGACAAGTCGGGGAAGACCCCCAAAATATGTGAGTATATCATTTACAGCTGGTGAAGGGATAGCTTCCACTCAAAATTTGTCACAATTCGACTATGCAACCATGGGCAGCGTAACAAACAATGTGCAAGAAAACCACTTAACCTCACAAGCGGCTAACGGCCATGTGCCGGTACTTCCCATTGTAGGTCTGTGGTTTGACCGAAAGTCCAGAACTGCCTTCTTCCCCCCATTCCCCCTTTCCCCCACCTCCACTCCCCACACTCCCCACGCCCTCCACCCCACTGAAACCATTCGTCCCATTCACTGTCAGGAAGGCCTACTAATGTTCAAGGGCTACTAAATTTAGCGCCACGAGGAGACCGGGAGTGACTCTGGCTCGCTCATACAGCTACAGCATGTTGTTGTACCCCAGCCTCTTCTACTTATAATCTTTGTCTGCATTTCCGCTTTCTTTCCGTTTGATACCAAGCAGTAGCTACAGGCGACAGTCAGCTATCCTGATCTCTGTACTTGCAGCACCGCACTTTGGCCCTCGTTGCATCCCCTTCGACCCACAAAGATACATAAATGTTTGTCCTTAGTTGTGGAGTATTAATTACATCTGCTTGGACACAACTGCTCTCTCCGTTCTGCATCAAATTCTTAACCAGAAACACACCTTGGCCCACTCCACACACAGACGTCTTCTCTGACGTCCAAATTCGATGAGGTGGAGTGCACGGATTGCCTCTTCAGCATCACGATCATCTTCCATGTATACAAACGCATAGCCTGTTGCATGCATGGAAGCACAAATGAGACGTCAACTCATTGTCATCGTATGTCCAGATATTCATAGATAAAACATGCGTACCATAGACTTCTGCTCTTCCCATCACAAGGGGAAAACACCCCCTGAATCCTACAGATAATATGTTCGAAAGAACACCCTGCCTCTTCAGACACTGCATGTCCACCTTCCAATGATACCCCCACAGCATCACCTCGTTTACACAAAGAGCATTCAACACATACTACCCACCATGTAGAGAGAAAGGGGAACAGCATGACACCAAAATTCAGCCTTCCAACAGAACTTCTCATTTTCTCAGATATCTGGCATCCCACACCACACACCGACAAGCCCATTTGAAAGGACGACTTGCACATGGAAGAATGTCTGTCAGAGACAAAAACAACAGTAGACTTCATAGAGCCCCTCAATGACGGACGTTTCAAATCCCAGCAAGATTCTTCTAGAACCCACTTCTTGCTTTTGGTGCTCCTCCTTTCAGAGATGCAAACAAATAAGGCCATCGAGACTCCTCACCACAAGACATAGCGGGGGGCAAATTCCACAAGGTAAAGGGACTGAGAAAGCTTGTCTGAGGTGAGCGGGATCACACAACAGGGATGGCCAATGTCACACACAATAACGGGGTGGGAGAACGAGACAAGGACATCCCCAATGAGTCAAGAATTGTTACCAGTGATTGCTGTGCATGAATGAATTGAGAAAAGGATTGACCGTTTGAAGGCGACTATTCGAGGATGCAGCATGTGGAGCGCTCCAGACGGGCAAGGAGTGATGTTGAACGGTTTGGACAGCCATCTTCAGTTGTGATTAGTTGAGCGTGCAGTGTGCACTACCCCTGAAAGGGTGCCTCCACGGCCGCGTTGTCCGTTGGCATATACATATGGTCTTGAAGCCAATGTGGCTGACTGAATGGGGTAGCAGCAACAAGGATTTCCTCACGAGACAAGGATTGAGTTTTCGAAGTATCGAAGTAAAGAGACACCTGACAGACCACTTGTAGCCGCAGCCACCAAGAGAAGACTGATAGTATCTGATCAATCCAAGCCACGGCAGGCACCAGTGGACATGGGCAACAAACCACAAGCACCCCTGTGCCATAGCCGTTTCTGCACCCATGCCCCCCGCACTGCCCTCCCATCCTCAGTCCTTTCACAACTCACACCGTCATCACTGCATCCGATCTTTCCACTCTTGCCATACAATGATGGCTGGTGATATACGCATGATGATGATGATCACGGCACAAGAACAGGCTACGAGACTTGGGAGAGCATCGACCAAGCCTTTACCAGTAACGATCCATCAAAATCGCAGCAGCAGCGGCAGCAGCAGAGGATTGGTGGACCCGTTGTTTGATTGATTGTGTGATTGCAGCACAAGTGGTCAAGACACAATGGCAGCGGTAGAAAGGGCAGCTGCAAAGAAGCACCCCCTCCCACTCTCCAGTGACTTCATCAAACAAGGTGTTCTAATATGTAGCAGCAGTTCCTTGAGAGTGAGGAGCAAAGGATGAGCAATGAATTGGACCCCATTGCTTTCCGGCAGTACGTAGTAGAAGTAAGAGCGTGAACGCAGGAGCGAAGTACTGTCCTGGCGCTCCGGCTCCAGCTAGCAAGCAAACAAGTGCACAGCAATTAATCTGCAAATGTGACCAGGATCGAAGTACTGTCCTGGCGCTCGAAGTATGATGCTAACGGTTACAATGATTGTTGTCATGCTGATGATGTGGATGTGGAAGATATGAGACTGGTATCTTCCGAGGTTGAGCATTGCTGAGTTAGCTCCTAGCCCGTCCATCCACAACAATTCGTTTTCTCTTACATCCCATCGCGGCAGTGATGATGTGAGCTCACATAATGATGACCACCACGATGATGACGATGATGATGATGATGATGATGATGATGATGATGATGATGATGGTGAAAGGTAGGCAGAAGAGAAGGAAGATCATCCGGTGGGCCTTTTGTTCCTCGGCCCTTGAACAAACAAAAGCCTGCAAACCAGTTAAAACACTGAGTATGCAGACATGTGATCCGAAGCAGAGCTTTCCAATTTCAGGCTTCAACAACACTTTTACACCTTCGCAAGGAAGCAACCAATTGATGCAACACCAGCAATACTACCTCATTTGGCTCTTTCGCAATCGTAAGCCTTTGATCTTTGGCTTCCGGCCAACAACATCAACACGTAATTTCCACAACCAAAGCACAAGCTCAAGAAAAGAAAAAAAAATGCATGCACGGCACACGCAGGACATCGAAACTTTGAAAGCTCTTCTTACTTTCAATCAACGACTCATACCTGACAAAACAAGAAACAACAGAAACATGAAAACCACTGCTATGATTGTCATCATCACTCCATCAGCTTTTCTGCAACAGAGCAGTCCTCTTTCAACGGATTCTAAACTACCTGATTAATGCAAAGAAAACAAACATTTCCACAAAACAGACAAAAATACACATTGCAAGCCTCCTTGACCCAGTTCTTTCCTAGACAGAGACACAAGTCATGGAGCATTTCTTAGGAAGCAGACGACTTGCTGCTGCGTCGCTCACAACGGTTTGCGTTCACTGTTCTTTCAGTGCGATATAATCCTTATATTGAGTCAATTAACTTTTTTTTGGGCGTCTCTCCTACCAGTGGGCGCCGACCTGCCGACAGGACTAGTAGGCAAATATCAATCAGTAGAGCAGCAAAAAAAAGACCATCACCACCATCGCTGAGCTCAATCAAGCTTGGTGTAATAAACCTGACCCCTCATCATTCATGCAAATACTGGCAATGCTCAACGAATGACAACTTGCATTCTTCTGAGATTGCTGCTCAACTGACCCCTACTTCTCCTAACTTCTGCTGACCATTCACCCAGTCCTCCTCCTCCCTCCTCCTCCTCCTCTTCATTCTCCTTCTCCTCCACCTCCTCCTCTTCCTCCTCCTCCGCATAATTCTTCTTCCCCTTCTCCACCTCGACGACCTTCTCCTTCTCTTCCTCCTCCTCCTCCTCCTCCACTTCCTCCTCTTCCTCCTTCTCCTACCTACTCACCTGTTCTCGGCTGAGGAGGGCACCATCCATCAAGGCTCAAGCCGGAGAGTGTCCACTTCCCACAGAGTGAAACTACACCGCCAATGAACATAAGGTTCACGTGCAAGTTTATGCTCTTCAGAAGTGGCGCCATTACTTGCCCAGTCAACGCTTCACATTTTTAACAAACAGCTCAGTTTTGCGACTTTCCTTGTGAAAGCCAAAGCTTAGCCCCCGACAAACATGTTGATGGCCTGACTCATCCGAGTTTACCTTAAACATTCACAAGGGTTCTGGTGGTAGTAACCGGATTGCTCATACCTTGTCCGGTCGTCCCAGCCTTGACTCCAAGGACTGACACCGTGACCTGTCTACTATCTTCTCTATCAGGATTGATGACACCATGCTTGGTGAGTACTGCAGCCACTACTCCCATTGTCCTGATTACTGTAACATACATGTTACCCTCTGGGGGACATGGAAAGACCGTTCCTGCTTCTGGCACGGTTTAGGCTCTTGCGTCAACATCCACAGGCATGTGTCCCTTAAACAGGCTGGCTTCAGGTTTGTGCCATTGCTGAGTATTATCGTGTCACGATCAGCGAGCTGCGGTTCATCCGGGCTTCCAGAAGACTTGGCTGTGCCCTGCAGAGCCGTCACAATGGTTAGTTGGCGGTCCGGAAACACATACGGAGAGCCGATCGGCACAGCCTCCCGATTTGGTTTCGCTGGTGGCAGCCTGTAGGTCCTCCCCTGTGCCCCTGAAGGGCCTACTAGCCCCTTCAGCTCCGAACAAAACTAGGGAGAGTCGGTAGGCCTTTCCCATGTAGTCTTCTTCAGAGGGTTTCCAAAATTTGGCCGCCCATCTGGGCGGTTCGTACCATGGAAGGCCCCGATCGCAGCCCTGCCACCAAATACTCAGATCAGCCCACGATCTAGGTCGTCCATGCGCGTGAATGGCCCACATCGCAGGCCAATCGGCCGTTGGCCTGCACAAACGGCAAACCGCCCACAATGGGCCCTTGCAACGATTAGGAGTTTCTATACTATTTGTAGAAGATATAGATAAGAGGAGGAGAAGATATGTGAGGGAGATCGCGATTGTGAGAGGTGGAGATGACGTTGGTTGGGTTTTTCTTTTTTCCTTCTCCTGTCATCTTCTTTAGAGTTGCAAAATATAGCATTGTCTCGGAAGTCGAGTCTCACATTGTGAATTCAGCAGGATCATAGTACCCATCATAGATTCAGAACATCCCCAAGGGAAGATGGTGCCCAATCTCAACATCTTGTGAGACTTGACACAAGGCCGATAACCATCGAATTGAGTAATGTACGACACTACAATCAAGGCTGTCAGCTGACTAAGGTGATCCGCAAAGTCCTGCAATCACAAAAGCCTGGACCACTAACAAACGCCCCAGGGAGAGTGGTCATCCAAGAAGGGCGGTGCACGGAAAGTCCACTAAGTGACAATCGGTCACAATTCAGACAAATCAGTACACTCCCCTAAGTATGGCCGTGACAAGAGGAAGTGAGGGTGCCCATCAAGCACCACTAGAGTGACGGCGGTGATAAGAAGTGTGCCGATAAAGCAGGATGATGGTCCAGGGAAGACCGTGGTTCAAGGAACCTCCTTATCCAAGGAAGAGATTGGTAGGTGGAGGAGGGTGGGGCTGGTCATAGAGCCTGCGCTATATAATGACTCAATGATCACGCAAAGGACCCCATAGCAGATACCTTGCACGGCATGCAAGGATGATAACATCAGAGGTAGGCACAGACACGTAGATGAGGGTTCGTGTAGAAACTCATTCACACAAGTGGTTAACGGGGACCCCCAGTTTCATGCCCTGGGTAACGGGTCCAAAACTGAAATTAGGGTTTGGGGGTCAAATTTTATGTTTTATGAAAAAAAAACACAATTTTAGCCTGTTCTTGTTTTGGTGCAAGGTTGCTGTGTGCCAAATTTGGTGTCATTTGGAGCATTGGAATTTCCTCTGTTAAGATTTCTGAACTTGGAATGTTGGCGAAATTTCATGAAAGTGTGCTTTTGCCTTGCTGTTTTATATGTTGTTGTTGTTTTTAATGTTTTTCGCTTTTTTTTTTTGCAGTTAGTTAGCATGGTCTCCACTCTATGAATTGGTGGCAAGTTTGATTAAAAGGACCCTTTGGTTTTTCTTGTAAATGGCATGGCAAGTGGTCTGAAAATTAGGGTCTCTGTTTACCTGCTCTCAATTCATTAGGTGTAATAACTCCCATTAGTTTATACAACACACAGGAGAGAACAGATCCGCCAACTTACCTGACCAGGTGCATACTTGCAAGACTGCCGCAGTTTCGATCCTCAAGGTACATGCAGCCACAGCGCCTCAATATCAATGAATTAAAATGGGAATCTCGTTCATGAAAGAGACACTAATAACATCCGTTCCGCTACAGACGAAACTTGACACCGCTGTTTCAATCCTCGGCTACAGGCGGCCACAGCGTCTCCATATCAACGAATTAATACGAATCTTGTTCATGGTAGAGACACTAATAACATCAGTTCCGCTACAGGCGAAATTGACCATGTCTACTGCAGTAATTCTCCACATGAAAGTAAGTTCCGCCCAACTTCATCCCCACAATTAGCAATCAAACGTCCAACAAACAAAGCAACTCACTGAGAGCTGCTGAACACATCACATCATGTCAAAAAAATGATGTAAGAACAACGACAAATCGCCCACACAGCCCCTCCCAACACAACTTCCACTTCCATTCTTCTACACAGGACAGACGCCAGTCGCGTTTCCTGAGTGAAAACGGCATTTAGCTTTCTCCAGGAGCATCCTGTCCTCCCAGAGTATTGATTTTGACTAATAATACATCTCTATCTCTAAACGACAGCCAGGAACGTCAGTCAAGAGTTGTGAGAATGCGGACAGTGCATCTTGCCTCGTACGCTCATGAACAATACATACATACATACATACATACATACGTACATACATACATACATACATACATACATAGGTATCTGTACTTTTCAATGTATGTATCTGTACGTTTGAAGTACAAATCACCTAATGCAAGGTTCAACCTTTTCTTCAGAACTTCCAAATTATCGCTTGACCGATTTGCTTTCTTGCCACAGACGGCAGGACTAACGTCTCAGCTGCCTGCGGTTATCATCTTGAAGACAGCCAGGGAAGCAGGCGCAAAGCAGATTTGCCACACAAGTGAAATGCCTTTTTATCTCACCTAACCCGCATCATTAGATGCTGCAAAGTCAACCTCAGGGGCCTATTTGTATCTTCAAGACAAATGACTGTTAAGATCGAGAAGCAAGCACTCGAGCAATAGGACTGCTGAAACAAACAAGCAACAAGAGACCTCACTTCGAAAAAGCACGGAGAATGAACCAAGAGAATAGACAAACACAAAAGGAGGAAGGAACGACCGGTGTGCATCATAGAGTCGAACACGTACCTGGTTTCATATCCACCCTTTCAACTCTTCCAAACTTCGTGAACAGTCGTTCGATTTCCGACTGCCTTGCATCGTACTCAAAGTTGCCGCAAAAGATCGGCTTCATTTTCGCCTAACCTTACCTTCTCTCTCTCTCTCTCTCTCTCTCTCTCTCTCTCTNTCTCTCTCTCTCTCTCTCTCTCTCTCTCTCTCTCTCTCTCTCTCTCTCTCTCTCTCTCTCTCTCTCTCTCTCTCTCTCTCTCTCTAGCGCGCGGTCCTGTGACGTGAGAACACCAACCGCACTTACACTAATGAGATGCAATCGGAGGCAGAGAACTCATTGACCATGGTTTATGACCAACAGAAGAATTGATAGCGATGATATAACCCATAAACGACTCGGCAATATCCAGCTCACTGATTGGCACCGGCTGGCACAGGACCAGAGCAATACGCTCTGCATCTCATCAGCACTCGAGGATAACAAAACCTTGATTTCGCACAGAACAATCGGAAGGCACGCCTTCCATAGCACCCCCAAAACTTCCGTACATCACGTGCTCACTCGATCAATATACACCGAAACCCACAATCCTGAAGCGACTCATCCACTCAAAATCTTCTGCCTTCACACCTGCAACAAGTTCTTCCACCATTTTCTATATCAATAGAGACACCTTTTCCACACTGTGCAGGGAGCGATGGCCACAAGCAGTAATCAATGCCACCATGCTGGCTTAAATCCGTTCTCTCTCTCTCTCTCTCTCTCTCTCTCTCTCTCTCTCTCTCTCTCTCTCTCTCTCTTTGTGTGTGTCTGCGTGTGTGTCTGCGTGTGTGTCTGCGTGTGTGTTAGGGTGAAAATATGGACGTGATGGTTGGGAACCAAGACAAAAACTGGTTTAACCCATCGACAAATAGACCCTTGCAAAGTTGACCGGAGAGAATCAGAGAGAGTGCAGTCCTCATTTACTCGTCCGGCCCAATGCCCTTGACTCCGGTCACGTGACCATGATGGAATACATAGACCCAATTCCTTGCTCTAAAATGAGGTACGCATGCCCTGTTCTTTCAGCCACATTCTTGAACGCCAGAGAGTCGAAGACATGCCAACTTTGACCGTCTTCTGTTTCCCTTGACAGCTCAACTCTTGGCATCCGCCATCTGCTCCAGGATCCAGCCACCATGTCCAGGTCTGCTCGGAGCTGTTCCAGAAAAGCCTATCTTTTTCCTTCACATCATCATCGTCCCAGTCATCAGGCCACTAAGCCACAGCCTCTTCTTATCCCTCTTGCTCATCCTAATCTGCCATAATCAACACATCAGCAATGAGACAGATCACCAGAAACAATCACGTCACCGACCGAACGAAACTTTTTCCAAAATGGACTACACACAACAGAGAGCAAAAACGTCAGAGCAATCCAACAGAGCGCACTGAAATCGGTCAACTAACTAATGGACCTATTGAAAGTACACCACATGTATGAGGGGACAGTGTAATTCCAAACTGGGACCTTACGCATGAGATCCAAGGTACATTGCACCTGATTGTGTTGTCTAACGTGTGCCACATGTCTCAAAATGTCGCATTGCCGCAGGCTGGCTGCTCTGGAAAGCCATCACACAGACACAGATTGATGATCAGCTTGACCAGCTGGCACGTAAGATACTTGCTGTGATTGCNATTGCCGCAGGCTGGCTGCTCTGGAAAGCCATCACACAGACACAGATTGATGATCAGCTTGACCAGCTGGCACGTAAGATACTTGCTGTGATTGCCAAAGTCTAGTTTGTACTGACAATGTATCTGGAAACCGTGGACTCATGCATGAGATGCAAACCACTCCGCAGCTGACCGTGCCAGCTGGAGAATCTTGCCTTATTTGCATGCCATAGGCGATTGGCTGCTTTGAACAGCCACAGCACAGGCACAAGTTGCTGATCAGCCTGGTCGGCTGGTATTGTAAAATACTAAGCTGTCGTAAACGGCGCTCACTGCAGTGGAATTGGAAACAGTGAACTTCTTCCTGAGATCCAAGGTACATTGCGGCTATCATGTTCCACAACCCTCAGAATCTTGCCTTACGTGTTGGCCACCGACAGTTCGCTACTCTGACAAGACATAGCACAGGGACAGCTTGCTGATCAGCTAGACCAGCTTCTGTTCAAGATATTTGCTGCGTTCACCAGTGCCTTGTCTGTCCATGGAATGCATCGTGCACAACTGGCCGGGCGGCTACCTGCTCCAGCCGCACGACAATCCAGCACCAGAGTTGCTCCATCCTGATCCCTGACTGATCAACCGGGGAATACAATTTCTGGCTCACTTATCTGACCCATTCTGCACATCAGCTGCTCCAGTGGTCTGTTCCGCAGGGCCCTGACAGTAGCTCAGCAAAGAACAGCTGCTTTGACACTCAACCAATCTGCACATCAGCTGCTCCAGAGGTCTGTGCTCCAGGGCCTGTCAGTACCACAGTAGAGAACAGCTGCTTTGACAGGTTGAGGTACAAATCACGTCCGCAACATGGCACAAACTCGCCACTGTTGGCCTTGCACTAAGGGCTCGGTCCTGTATCAGGGTACCCTGTGCATATTAACTCAGAAACTTGCTGCTCCACTGATTTATTTCCCGACGACAATACCTGTTCCACCACAGTTAAAGGAAGGGGGGAAAGGGGGTGGGGGAAGGGGGAAGGGAGGAGTGCTCCAGGGAATGAACAGGACTCTGATGCAACATTCGGTGACCAAGCTCCTTGCACGCCGTCAAAAGACAGAAGGTGATGGTTTGTGAGTGTGTGCCACTGCAACGACGTCCATAAATTTCTCTAACATTATCTCCACCCGATTCACATGGCCACCCTTGCCATGTTGGCCAAGTCATCGGTCATAAGCATCAGGTTCTGAGTTCTAACTTCTAACTCATAACACTTAGCCTTGCCCGAGGGATGGACTGCCTTTCGTTGGAAACACAGCCAGGCAGCGTATATCTGGTGATGCGCATGGCGAAGCTTACAAAGTCCCCTCAATCTCTCCGTTGCCCCTGATCTCTCTCACCCGTGTGGAAAGATGCAATCAATACACTAAGAATCTCTCTCTCTCTCTCTCTCTCTCTCTCTCTCTCTCTCTCTCTCTCTCTCTCTCTCTCTC